ACTTAAAACACTTTCAACAAATGATAGAATGACAAGTATCATCTTTTGCCTCTATGGAGAGAGAAAAATTCTACTTTATTATATAAGAGATTTATAAATATTTATTTTAGAAAAACTTTTGAAATATTTTATAACTAATAAATCATATATCATCATTACAATATAAATGCATATATAACATTAATAAAAAATAAACTAATTATAAGTACATTGTAAAAAAAATCAAACTAACTTATATATATCTTTTTTTCATAAATAATATATATATTAAAATTATTTGTAAATTTTTGCTAAAATAGAAAAGTAAAACAAGAATAATGAAATAGAAAATTTGTTTTAACTAATGTTTCAATTTTTATTTGCATTTATTGGTTCATTAAGTAAACTAAAATTTGTTAAAAATAATAAATATAATAACATCATTAAAAGAAGGTGGCACATGGCATTTTTTGCCCCTATAGAGAAAAAATCTACTTTATTATATAAGACTTTGGTACAAAAGAGTTTTCTTTTTTGAACAGAAGTACAACAGAGTTTAATATACACTTCTATCTAAAATATTAAAACTGAAGTACAAATTTATAATACGTTTTAGTTTTCCTCAATAATTACATCTTTATGCGACTGATTTATTTGTTATTTATGAAAACTCAAATGCCTTAATAAAACCAATAGGTCACATACTTATTTATAAGGAACTAATCTTTATTAGAATTCTAATTATGAAAAATATTTTATAGCACAATTCTTATTGTCAATCTTTTAATAAGATATCTAAAAAATTAATTGCAACTAACCAAATAAGTTAAGCTATTAAAACCAAAATTAATGTTTCTTAATAACTTCAAAATATATATATTCCTTACATTTAATAATATGTATAAATTAATAATAAAATATCTACCTATTTATTTATTATTAATAACGAAAAAATATATTCAACATAAATAATATATTATTATAATAAAATAAATAATATATAAAATAAACATAAATGATAATTCACCTTCATTGTTATATATATATATATATATACATTTAAATTTTAACCCATAATATATATATATATATATATATGTATATATACAACCAAAAAATGATAATTTTAATCAATTAATAAAACTGATTCATATAGAGTATAAAACCATATTAAATATATATTAAATATTGTAAGCATCAAAATTTATACAATCAATCATGTATGAAATTTTTTAACAATATAATTTTTTTTAAACCCCGTACGGGCGTGCAGATCAGAATCTAGTTTTAGTTAATATTAGAGCATCATTATCTCAAAGACCCATTTAAGGGTTATTTTTTTACTTTTAAGTAGTAAAAGTGATTTAAGAGACAACATTAAGAAACCCAAATATTTTTATGAGTTCTTAAAAAAAATTACTAAACATATTTTTATTAAACTTAAGATTTAGTAATCCAAAAGAACAACAAATCAAGTTTGGTAACCCAAAAGAAGACAATAAGTCATGTTAAACCTGTTCATGTATAAAATCAAGTTTGGTTTTACCGTATTCATCTGTTCATGTGTAAAATCAACTAGTTGTTGACTTGACATGCAGGCCTTGATGAACCAAGACAAGTTGCATTGTGTGAGAAGAAGAGGTTACTTACCAATAGCTCTTGCTAGATTCAAGCTTCCATTGACACGACCAGCATGAATAAAGCCACCAGCTTTCAGTATCCTTTCTCTCTCAGCTTCAAGATCTGGTTTGTGATCTCTAGAAAGATCATAAACTATATACACACACACACAAGTTTGTAACAAAAAGAAATTTCAGATGCTAATTAAAATCTTTAATCAGATTATTCAGATGCCTAACAAAAGGGTATTGTACCTGAGCCATACTACTAAAAGCAAAACAAAGCAAGGAATGCATAATGACCAAAATAATGGAAAAAATCATAAAGTTTAACGAACTCAAACAAAAAATGGATAAATAAACAAGCATCCCAAAAAAAAAAAAAAACGAGTCTCACACGGCATTATCATGTCCTAATATATATTTTCTATTAGAACATATTTTTAATATATATTTTCAAAACAATTATGTATGTGAAATAAAATAAAAAAACAACAAAATTTAAGTATTTTTCGTTATTTATAAAATGAATATGTAATTTCTCTTACATTTTTAATAGTTACTATAATTTCATTTTTATCGGACTCCGGCGAATGGATTCCCACAGTCGATAAAGCCGTAAATAAACCACGCAGCTCTTATGTATTTTAGTTTTATTCGTTTTGGTTATTATCATATGGGCTTTTTAGTTTTAATATTTTTATGATTTTTTTTCCTCTAGGCTTGTTGTTTAAAGCCCAAAATAGTGGGAAAAATCCTAAAGTTTAACGAACTGAAACCAAAAACAATTAAAAATGGATTAAAAAACGAACAGCCCAAAAAACAAAAAACAAAACGAGTCCCACACGACACTATCATCTCCTAATATATATTTTTTATTAGAACATATTTCCTAATATATATATTCAAAAAATTATGCATGTGAAATAAATTAAAAAAACAACAAAATTTAAGTATTTTTGTGATATATAAAATGAATATGTAATTTCTCTTACATTTTTAATAGTTACTGTAATTTCATTTTTATTAGACTCCGGCGAATGGATTCTCACAGTCGATGACGCCGTAAATAAAAATGTCACGTTATTCATGAACAAAATCCAAACTTACAAAAACAACATATACAAACCTATCTAATGAAACCCAAACAACAAATATTAGCTTAAATTAAAGTTATTTCCAAATTGATAAATCGTTTAGTACAAATATAAATACTATAAATAAATAATTATATCAAGTTTTGACCTCCGATATAAAAACTATTTACAGCATAAAAAATAAAAAACAAGATAGACACATATTATTACACACTAGAAACTATATTATAGTTTAATTATTCCTATAAACCTTACTTGACATATAAATAACATTTAACACATTATATGTACAATATTTTCATTTTACACTCTTGCTTCATTCTTTCTATTTCATCATTATTTGGTATTATTAGAAAAACCCACTAAACCAACAACCGGAAAAAACACAGACAAACATCAATGATCCCAGTCCCGCGATTGCGGGAGGGATATGCAACTAGTTATCAAAAGTACTTTACCTTTCCAATGTCAACAGTAACAGATTTCTTGTTTTTTTTATACCTTCAGAAAACATGCGGAGATCAAGCATCCCACGACATCCATTGTCAAAATCGATTATAACATATGCGTTATCAATTATATCAGGCACCTATGTTGTCAAAGAGAAACAACTATATGTATCAAAATCACCATACAATGAATTGGGTAAATGATGTGGGGATTAAAGAAGTACCTTCCCATCATAAATGTCATCCTTGTGGTTCACATCCATACCTCTAGAAGCCATCACGCAAACAGGATTTGGAGAAGCAAAGAGCCTCATTAGATCAAAAGGCTTCTCGTTTTTCCAATGTTTCCGCTCCTATTTTGAAAGAGATCAACTGAACATTGAGCATTGAAGGGTGAGAGAGAGAGAGAGATCAAAACCTAGGATGGAGAGAATGACGACGGAGGAGATCGTGTTCAACGCCATTGAACAGTGAACTGGAGATTCCGATGAGACAGTTGATTTGAGAGAGAGGATAGGAGATCAAGAATTGGAGAGAGAGGAGAGGTGATCAAAGGATAAGAGACGTCTCTTTTATGGCTTAATTAAAAAACGTTTTCAGGGAAAATAGTTTTTTTTTATATTTTAATTATCTTAAGAATTCCCTTAAGAGACGGCGATAAAGATGGCCTTAGCTTTCTATATGATTTGATTTCTCATCATTCACTCTAACATGCATGCATGCATGCACGTAGAAGGTCGACTTAGCACTAGCAAATCCCCTTGCATTTGTTACTTGAGCATTAGTTTTCCTTTATTCCTCAAAGAACTATCTCAATCCCATATTGACTTCAAATCCCACTTTCCTTTGACTTTTCGAAATGTTAAAACAAATGTGGTTGAATATAGTAAATATTTCAAAATATTATTAATGGATCAAGTAAATTATTAAACCAATGCATGCTCACTGTTTACACAAATTCTTGTATTTTACCGATAACAAAAGAGTGTATAATGGGAAAAGGAAGACAGGGAAACGTGACCACTGGAGGTCAAAAACACTTATTTTAAATCAATATAATAACATTGTTTTGTATCGTTCAATTTGAATTTCACTATCCTTTAACCAAACCTATAAAATGATTGTATGAGGAGACATCATTGGAAAACATGATTTGATAAACTATTATATTAATTATCACCTTTCTTTAGACTCTTGCATCTTCTGAAACACTATAAATTTGTATATGGTTTGATTTCTCATCATGTGAATCATGTAGTCCAAGATGTTATTAAATGTGGCAAACAAACCAAAAGCCACAACAAGACAAGTCAATATTTCTTGATTCATCATATATGAATCATGTTTTCCAATAGCAACCAAACCCAACACAAATACGAAAAGAAGTAATGCAGATGATGTAAAAGAGTATCATGTGGGAAAAGTTTTATCCTTTATTAAGTGGAAGTGGGTTCGTTTTTTCTCCTCTTAGCTTGAGCAGTCTTAGAAACCGGGGTAGGACGATCATGCATGCTCTGGATATTAACAGAGAAAGAAGAAAAGAACAAGAACAATATAAGTAAAAATATATAACAGATATATAAACATATAAGCATAGAAATTATAGTAGCAAAACACAGAAGGAAATGTTGATAGAAGAGTTTATCTTACTAACGTTACTTATCTTCATGTTTTCAGCCATCCTATAGATGGGAGTCATCTTGTCTCGAATGCCCTAGAGCGATAAAAAAAATAGAACAACATAAGAAGTGGAAGAAAAGATAGGAAACACAATATACAAGAGAGGATATCTTACAGCGTAAGTGGTGTCGCTTTCATCCCAGCCAGAGTTTTGCCACTTGTTCATGAGAGAAAGATCATAAGATCATAGTTCTTAGTTGTTCACACATGCTGGAGGAAAGATCTGGCATGAGATTGAGAGTGTTCTGAGGAGGTTGAAGAATTTCCATTCGAAGGATGAAACTCTTAAATTTGTAGTATGAATGAGCAGCAAATGAAATAAGGGAGTGAAAATCTCTACCGCCCTGCAAGAAGAATAGAAAAACAGAACATAAGAGATTTTGCCAGAGTTAATGCATGTAGATGAAGACATGTTCCTGAAAGCTTACCACATAAACACTGTCCTCATTACACCATCCACCGATCTGCCATTTCTTGATGAGGTAAGAATCATATTTTGCATAATCTTCAATTGTCCAAGTCGACATAGTCAGAAGATTTGATTTCTTGAAGCTATTATCCTCTTGAGGCAAGATCCTCCTTTCTTGGAGCAATATGAGAACGATTCAAGCTCTTCTGGAGCTTCATCATATCTCTCCTCTTCAACCCCAGCCTTCCCCTTGCGTTTATCATTAGTTAATGAACCTAAAGAGACAACTGAAACACCCAACCCAGAAATATTTGAAAAAAACACGATTAAATTCTAAGTTAAGATCTGACCAATTTTCAAAGTAAAAATACGAAGAAATATTGCAACTTTATTAATGAAATCCGAAACAATTTACTTAAAAATCCATACTGTTACAACAAGATGGTTTGATCAAAACTCTTAAAACATTACCCCAAGTTAAACATTCTTTCCCGATAGTCTTTACAGTCTCGCACTCCGGTCCACACAATCAAACCTTACATGCATCACATAAGGAGGCATGAGCATAGAAAAATACTCAGTGAGGATGCTCAAAACCGTCCACATGCAACCCGTAACATCTAGCAACCTAACATTCCATTCGATTCTAACAACCTAGCATTATAAAAGTTTCTAACTCATTCTAGCAACATAGCATCCCATTCCATTTTAGCAACCTAGAATTCCATCCATTCTAGCAACCTAGAATTCCATTCCATTCTAGCAAACTAGCATTTCATTTCATTCTAATAACCTAGCATTTCATTCCATTCTAGCAACCTAGCATTTCGTTCATTCCAGCAGCCTAGCATTCCATCTCATACTATCATCCTATCATTCCATTTCATCCTCATACTTAAGCATTTTTTTTCTGAACTTTCATTTATCTTTATTCATTTATTTTAAAGCATTTTCATTTCTTTAACCATTTTACTCATCCTCGACCCGAAGGTCACTTATGGGCCGAAGTCAAACATACTCGGCCCGTAGCCATCATATTCGACCCGTTGGTCACTCATCACTCGACCCCGTAGGTCCATCATGGCCAAAGCCAACATACGGTCCGAAGCCAAAACATAACATCTTTTACGACCCGAAGCCAAAACATAACATCTTTTACGGCCCGAAACCAAAACATTCATATCATCTTTTACGGTCCGAAGCCAAAACATACTTTCCTTATTTACTTTATATCATAACCAGTTTTCCTTAACATTTTTTATTTAACATATTGTTTACTTCTAGATCAAATCTATGTTCTCCGCATAAACATTTCCGATCATTTTCTATCAAAACAAACAATCTAGCATGACATATATCCTAAGAACGTGAAGAACGTTCTTTGATCTCTGAAATTACTTCGAAGAACGTAGAACAAACTTTCCATATAACACAACATTCATTCATACAATCTAGCATTTTCAGATCCAATTCACTAATATCTATGCTATCGAGTTTCCACGAATCATATCCTCACCTTAGCTGAATCTCAAGGATTCAAAGACTCTGAACTTCGTAGCGTTATTTCCGGTGAAGAATCCTTCGCTCTTCCTCGTTCCATCCTCCTTCTTGAACTCCTCTCTCCAAAAACTTGTTTAAGCTCTGACTTTACTTTCAGCTCATTTTTGAGGTGTGTGTAAGAATGAGAGGTGAAGCTCTCTTTTTATATTACTCCCTCGACTTTCTCACCAAGCCGGCCATTAAGTGTTGTTTCCTTATTTGGCTTGATCAAAGATTACCATGAATGTTTTGAATTAATCTCTACAATTCTTTCCTTATATGAGTCTCGCAGATCTAACATTCCTTCTGTATAATCCTGCAATGTTAACTACTCGATCTTTCCTTACTTATGCCCTACCCGTTCCATAATCACTTACTGTCTCTAGGCCCATTCCAAGTACGTTCCATGAACTAACTAACGTTCCGATACTTAGTCAAAATACAGCTCATTCTTATAACCTTCAAGAATACAAGTGTTTCCACACTTAAAAAAATATACTCCTTGTAGAATTAAACCTTTTGCGATTTCAATTTAAAAATACTCCAGAAACGGGTCGTTACAACATCTGTGACAACAACACAACAACAAATGCATTATTCATTTGTTTCTCAGCATAAATTAAAGAGATTTACATGAGCTTCAAGATCTCTGTTTGATAAAAATATTGTACAAAGGTTTATTGCTTCTTTTGTATATTCTGAACATGGAACTATATTGAAATCTAATTATACTTAATTTGATCATATTTTCACAATATCAATAATGATGTTTGTACTATATCGAACTATATGCACTTTTTTAGAACTATCCTACTATTTTTTTCCCATTAATTTCATGTTAATTGGTATTTATGGGCATACTCTGCAAATGAGGATGAATTGCTAAGTATCTTGATTTTCACATTGTTTAATCGTTATTCCTACATATTAAACAGTTCATCGCTTAACACCAAACACTATTTAAATCTTTATTCGTCATATTAGATTACTGGAATAATGAATGATGTTATTTTTATGAACAAATATTTATGAAGCTAAATTATTGGTTTTATAACTAGATGTTTGAGAAAACATTGTTTTTTTTATTTAGCTTTAGTAATTATCTACATAATAAAAAAACGTCAAATTAGTCTAACCCTCTGCTAAAATTTTGAATAATTTGTGTCGAGCATCTTTCAAGTTTTGGACTTGTTGTTCAAATCAATGTCTATTTGTGTGCCCTTAGAGTTTTTTTCTCTCTAAAAGCATACATTATAAATTTGTGAAACTAGTAGGCAAGTAGGAATGTGCATATTATTAATATATTATGCTCTATCATGATTATAGAATGTCTTTCCAATTGGTGTTGCTTTCAAGTATATATTGGTGATCAAGAACCGAGATATCAACTTAAGAAATGATAGTAGATTTCATCATTTCATTGATGAAAAGTGGTTATTGATATGCTCAAATTAACCTTCAAGCTACTCTCTCAAATAAGAGGTTCGATGTAGTATTTGAGGATTGAATCCACAGAGACCAAATTTTACACTTTATTATTATAGGATCAATATTAAGCTAAAACAATATGGGGTTTAAAATAAAGAAAACATAAAAAGCAAGTAAGTAACAAGTTGGTTTGGTTTCAAATTATAAAAGAGCTAGGTTTAGGATGATTCATCGGGATACTTAGGATCATGAACTACACAACTATTCAGGAAAGCAATAAGAGCCAATCTAGAACTTGAACAACAAGGTTAAATAAACCCACTGTCGTGGTGTCTATCAATTTATCAAACAATCCTAATATCTAAACTATCGTTTGGATTAGACACTGATGACAAGCATTAAGGTCAGGTTCAATTGGTTCACGAATTGCCCTACCATCTACTCTCGCTGGCTAGGGACAAATCGCCTATCTATGCCTTTTCTAGCAACCTAAAACATTTTTGATGATTAGATTAAACCTGATATCAGATGTTGAATGGCCAGTTTAACACAAGCAGTAAGCATAGCAATAGATAGAGATATCAAAGAATAACAATCGTATTTGTGTCTAGCTCATTGATCCATGATCACTAACACCCTAAACCTAACAAGCGACTACTCAGCCATAGACAGAGAAACTACAGAGTCAATAGATGAAGAAAACATGTCTGAATCAATAAATAATAAGTAAGAGGGTTTAGAAATCTTCTCCAAAGGTTGTAGAGATTCTTCTCTCTCAAAGTTACAAAGTATGAAATCCAAAAGCTCTAGAGTTGTTTCTCTGGTAAAAAGTATCGTAGTAAATAATAGAAAAGAGGAAAAGAAGATATATGGAGGCTGCTGGCGGTTGGGAGAGAAAAATAGGAGAATTAGGGAAAATCCCGAAATAGGTTAAGATTTCCTTAAAAATCTCTGCCGCGGGAACATGCGCTTCAGGCTGCTCCGCTCACTCGGGAACAGTTTGCAGACTGTTCTTCGTGAAAATCATCAAATTGCAATCATTTTCTCCAACTGGTCCATCTTCCATCCAAATGCAACTCCATACCTGTAATGACTTAAAAGGGACTAAAAAGACTCGATAAAGACTCAAAAACACTTTAGAAAACATTGTTAGAATATGCTAAAAACACCATATATCAGTTATGCGCCGAGTATTGGTAATTGTGGTAGCATTAGGACAAGTTTATGAATGTGTTATAAATGAAAACATATTAAGTGAAAAAGGTAAAAATATATTTTTCTTGTAAGCAATAATGTTTAGGATTCCTAAAACTAAGAAGACGAGCCGATCAAACTTCCTCTCCCTTTTCGACTGAGACGAAGCCTCCAGCTGAGAAGAAGCTGCTGATAAAGGGGAAGAAGAAGAATTAGGTGAATCTTGTTCATGAGGTGGTGAGAATCTGATTTGTTTGAAAAACATGATAAAGATATTACATACTCTGCATCAAGATTTATACTGCAACACAATATGCATTCCTTCTGATTCATGCACTAAAGAAGATACCTAGGCAGAATAGTAGGGATACTATTAAGGGGTTTGACCTCCATGTTGTTAATGTTATTGATCCCAAGCTGATTAGAAGGGAGAATGTAAGGTAAATTTGAGTCTTTTGACATTTTGTGTTTTATAACATTAAACTCAAGTCTTGGTTTTGAAAATCAAAATTTTCTTGCGACTTTTATGTTTGAGAAACTTGTGATTACTTTTAAAATCATTAGTTAAGGAACTCATGCGATATTATGCAAGAACTCATTTAAATATATATATATATATATATATATATATATATATATATATATATATATATATACTATACTTATATTCTAGTTGTGATTATTGTCCACAGCTTTTTATACAGGTTGTAATGGTTAATAACCAAATATTGCAATGGTTAACACAAAAGTTACAATAATTCATCTTCAAAGACTACAATTACCAACAATTACAATGGTTCATGACGAAAGATTGTAAAGATCCGTCATTAGAAGAAAATGTAATCACCAAAAGTTGTAATGTTTCATTTAATCAATTGTGATTGTTCATCTAGACAGTAGACAGTTGTAGTTCACCTTCAATGGTTTCAAAGATTCACTTATATCTCCAACAGTCATTCCCTATTTAAATGTAATTAGAGACTTAAATTAACAAATGACATACATATCAAACTCATGCATAAATTAAAATTTGCATAAATAAAAATATTTGATCTTAGTTTACTTTTTGTTATATGAGTATTGTAAACATGAGAGCATGTACCACAATAAATCGTTAAACCATGTAACGCAAGACACGACCATGCAGTGACTACATTTGATTTTTTCACATACACTTCTCTTTGTATATAAAATTTGACTTGTTGAAGAGAAAAGTGTGTGACATTAGTAGTAACAGAGTAGTTTACACAAATTATTTGTTGACTTATCTCGATCTCACATCAACATTTTCTTCACCTAAATTTTCTTCTTGATAGTTTCTTCGATGTAGTTTTGTTATTGTTGTTGTAGTAGTTGTTGTTTTCCTACTCCAGTGTCAGGAGACACAAACCTCCCTTACTTGTTTTGCATTCGCCAATTTCCATTTCCATATCATATATATCTCCTTGGGGTTCAAAGGCTTGGTCTATAGCTCAGATGCAATGGATCCAACCTCCACATCTGGTGCCTCTTGAGTCATGTCTCTAAAGTTGGTCACCGAAAGGTGGTATTATAGCGAAAAAACAACTCATATAGATTCTTTAAGAGACTCTTGGCGCATGGGTTTACCTTTTTCGTCATATCGGTACTGGGAATTCGCATAACTTATCTTTAAATTTAATTATATACCATATAAAATACATAAGAGTGAATGTTTTGTTTTATTTACCATAAGATGATTGTTAAAAGAACTGAATGTTTTTATTTAAAAATTATTTGCATTGAATTTCAAAATTTGCATTGAAATTTTAAAAATGATTATAATTGTTATCACTAATTTTAAAACATACAAATGATCATAAAATTATATGAGTATAAAACTGTATTTAATAGATAATCATATTACAAAATATGATATATGATATATATATATATATATGTATATGTTAGTATCATTTAACACTACAAAAAACATAGTTTAACATCATTTATTTTAAATACTAGTTGCATACCCCCCGCGCAAGCGCGGGGCAGGGATCATTGATGTTTGCTTGTGTTTTTTTCGGTTGTTGGTTTAGTGGGTTATTCTAATAATACCAAATAATGATAAAATGGAAAGAATATAGCAAAAGTGTAAAGTGAAAATATTGTATATATAATGTGTTAAATGTTATCTATATGCGAAGTAAGGTTTATAGGGATAACTAAATTATAATATAGTTTCTAGTGTATAAAAATAGGTGTCTACCTTAATTTTTTTTATGTTGGAAATAGTTTTTATATCGGAGATCAAAACTTGATATAATTATTTATTTATAGTATTTATATTTGTACTAAACGATTTATCAATTTGAAAATAACTTTAATTTAAGCTAATATTTGTTGTTTGGGTTTCAATAGATAGGTTTGGATATGTCTATTTTGTAAGTTTGAATTTTGTTCATGAATAATGTGACATTTTTATTTACGGCGTCATCGACTGTGGAAATCCATTCGCCGGAGTCTGTTAAAAATGAAATTATAGTAACTATTAAAAATTGAAGAGAAATTACATAGTTATTTTATAAATAACAAAAAATACTTAAATTTTGTTGTTTTTATTTTATTTGACATACATAATTTTTTGAAAATATATATTAGGAAATATGTTCTAATATAAAATATATATTAGGACATGATAGTGCCGCGTGGGACTCGTTTTGTTTTTTGTTTTTTGGGCTGTTCTTTTTTTGATCCTTTTTAATTGTTTTTGGGTTTAGTTTTGTTTTTTGGGCTGTTCGTTTTTTGATCCATTTTTAATTGTTTTTGGTTTTGAGTTCGTCAAATTTTAAGCTTTTTTTTACTATTTTGGGCTTTAAACAATAAGTCTAGAGGTAAAAAAAACATACAAACATTAAAACTAAAAAGCCCATATGATAATAATCCAAACGAAAAAAACTAAAATACATAACAGCTGCGTGATTTGACCCACATGCTCGTGGACTTAATTAGATGCCTTATACCACTTTGCTAAAGTATATTCATTGTTCATAATCATTTTTAGAAAAATATAAATTTTTAAAACTTAAACGCGTTGGACCCACAAACTTGCTGATTTTGACGGCTTTAGGAACCTTAGAAGTGAACTATTATAATATAGATTTGCATTACTTATAAATGATTTTAAAAGTGGTGATGCAAATAATTGAAATCATTTTATTGATAATTGATTCAAAAATTGAAATATTTACATTGATTATTTGAAGTGATGTACATTGATTATCATATAAAAGAATATGTAAAATTAATTTGTATACCGAATACTTATCTAGCGTAACACTTAATTTAAAATAAAATTAATATTTAATATGTATAAGAGAATGAATATTAGATCGTCAATATTCAAACGTGATTAGGGCAGAAATCATTCTATTTTTCGGTCAACATACGGATTTTAAGCCGAACTAGATATTTTAATATGAAAATATTTGAAATTATATAATACTTCCTTCGTTTCAAATTAGATGATGTTTTAAAAGATTTATTCTGTTTCAAAATATAAGATGTTTAAAAAATTTAAGGTATCTTGTGAGGTTTTAAAGTTATTTTTAACTTTATTAGAAACTGTTAAACCACTAAAATTTTACTATTTTTATAATAATTGGTTGAATTATTTTAAAATTATATATTTAAAATACTTTTGTAAAAGAATGTAAATTTCTTAATATTTGTGCAATGATCCAAAATATCTTATATTAAGAAACGAAGGGAGTAAAATTTATCAATAAATAAATATAATTTAATTATGTATACTATACAATTTTATAATAATTTTATGTGGCTTATAATATTATAAATCTAAAATTTATAAATTTGTAATTTTGTAACAATTTTTAAAAACTTTATTATGTAACATTACTAATTTATATTTTGTGTTATTTCTAAATTTGAAATTTATGTAAAAAGTAAATAAAGTTGGACCTACATAATACATACACAAAAATTTGGGATATTGTTAAAACTATTTTACATAATTTTTGTTTATAAATAAAAAATGAATTAAAATTTTAATTATAAGTTATGATAATTAAAATTTTAAGCAAAAATATTTTTTAACTATATTTTGAAAAGATTCTAAAAGATTTTTAAAAGATATTGTTAGATTTTTCTTAAAACTATTTATTTGTATTTCAAATAAAATTAAAGATATGAAAAGATATTATAATGGTGTTATATAAAATTTTATAAAATTTCTAAGGATGATCCAAACTAAAAAATCACACATGAAGTGAGTCATGACTTCTCTTTTAATATAATAGACTAGATCTCAACCCGCGCAACCGCGCGGGTATTTGTTTTCATTTATTTTTATATAAACATTTATTTTACTTCTAAATTGGTATATATTATATAAGGTGTGTATATCGAAAATGATGATTAATTATTATATAGTATAGATTAATTATTGTTATAAAATGATGATTTTGTTATTTTTAAAAATAAACTATATAATTTTTAAAGTTAACATAAAAATATATAAATAATTAACTTATACTATTACAATATTAAATTATATAAGTTTAATTTAAACATGTATTTTATTATAATATCTATAAATCCAATTGATCATCTAATTTTTATTAGACCAATAAAAATTTCTAGTAAACCCAATAAATGTTATTAGTGAATCTAATAAATGTTATTAATGATTAAATAATATAATGTTATAAATTTTATTAGGTGGTCCATTTTAAAATATCACACATAAACTGAAGTCATGACTTCTCTTTTAATATATAAGATAGATGTAATGGCAGATTAATTGGTCACATATGTTTTTCTTTTTTAAAACAAACATGTTTAAATGAAAGATTATGTTCCTTTTAAAACTCTGACCAGTGAAAATACGTATTACGTTACATATAATTTTCCCACTATATATATATAATCAGCCCAAACAAAGAAGACAAAACAAACAAAAAATTAGGAGATTATAAAAATGGCTATCGCCCTAAAAAATTTACTTGCATTTGTTTTTACTGCTCTCTTCATCGTATCTTCTATCCATTGTCGACCGACTACTGCAAATATTCCAGGTATTGGTTTATTTTTGATTTTATAATTACGAAAAAGATCTTGTTCAGATTTTAACGAATAGTTATATACGTATTATTTTATAAAATAGGTTATGGAGTGAAGCAGATGGATCGTCAATGTTTCAATGGAGCTATATGTCGCGGTGCAGTAGGCAACTGCATTTTTTGGTGTAGAGATCATGGGTACTACTATGGCATCTGTCTTACTGATGCATGTTGTTGTATGACTTAAGTACCAGTTAAAGTCCAAAATCAAATAATTTGAATCAAATATTTTGGTATCTACTTGAAAAACATAAATATTTTCATATATATGTCTTGATTAATATCTATACATAAAATCCAGAATGAAGAAAATTAGTAAAACGAAGTTCCATTGATTAAATTTGAGCAAATGTATAGCTTCTCAAAAGTGAATCAATACTATTAAAATAGGAAAATTGACAAAATAACCCTCAACTTTTGAAAATAAACAAAAAAATCTCTAACTTACAAACAAGCCATTTTAACCTTCAACTTTTAGTCAAACACGAATAAATCTCATACTTTCGTTGACCAAGCCATTTTAATCTTGTCAAAAATCAACCATTAAGTTCCGTTAGTTATATTTAACGGCGACAATGTACAAACTTATTTTACAGAGATAAATTTTTTTAAAAAATTGAATATGAGGGCGACGGCGACGAAGAATGCGAACTAGGGTTTCGATGCCTTGGGGAGATGGAAATCATGGAGACTCGAGGGCTTTATGGATACGGGATCTCTTTGATCTTGTCCAGGATGCAATATTTGGGGATTTTGGTATAGTAAGGGGAGGATCTGAGATGGGAATCGTGAAAGGATATCGATTGGTTCGATGGGATCACAAAGGAAGGAATATATTGGGAAGATCTCAAAGTCTTAACTCAACACGATCTCTTCCATATCAAGATTACCAATTGAAGAGTAAAAAAGGTATGATTTTGTGGTGGAATAATGAGGAATCCGATTGGTTTTATACAGAGGATTTGCGGTATTATAAGGTATACCACAGTATGGTAACTTTGAGATTTTGTATGGAATGGATTTGTTGTCGCTATCTAATGGGATACTCAGGAAATTATCTACAAATCATTTCCTTTGTCTGATTCTCTGGATTCTGTGACAATGATTTGCAGGGTATCTCGATGGATATTTGGTGTTCTAAGTTTTCAGTTTGAAATAAGCTCCACGAGCATTAGTTTTGTTTTTATATTTGGTTCTTATTGGTGTATGGGCTTTTCTTTCATTTTGTATGTTTGGTGCTCGTTGGTTTTGAGTTTACCTCTATGGAATAATAATGGTTTACTTGGTTATGTGTGGCTCTGTTTTCTTGTTGGCAAGAGATTTTTAAGGGTCTTCTGTTTGGTAGTTTGGATTTGGACTCAACTACCTCCTTTCCGTGGCTGTATCATTCTGGGTGCGTGGGAGTATGAGGTGGATCATACAGGGCTTTGGGCTTCATCATGCCTACGGGGGTGCAATGTGAACTTTTGTTTTCAAGGTTTTGATGGTAGAAGAAAGAGAGACACAGGTGGACAAAGGGCTAATAAAGTAGCCATTCATATGGTTTATATGTATAAAAAAGATACGGAGACCATAAAAGGACGTTCACGTTTTGTTCTTTTCCTCCGACAAATGTATAGTTTTGTAAGTATCAAGAAGAAAGCATGGGTTCAACGATTATGGCTTGACTTTGTCAATGCAGGGTCAAATGTTTTTTTGAGGATCACATCATTGGTGGTTTCTGTCTTATCTAGTGTATTACATCATGTATCCTTGTTCCTTATATGTGAGGTTCATGTTTCTTTTGTCTTTGTGTTGCGCTCTCTTTGGTTTTATAAGGGCTTGTTTTTTCCTATTTCAAGTTTAATGGCTGTGGTTTGGCCTTTCCTATTTAATAATACTGTCTCTTTGAGGGCTTATATGATTTGTGTGATGAGGTTTGGATACTATCATGTTAGTATCTGTTACTACGGGGTAAGAGTTCTTAATTTAATTACGTATTGGGTGTCTAGTACTGAGAATAGAGAACAATGTGGTTACCTACAGAGATTTTTCTACTTCAGATTATACATGCTTAATAATTATTCATTTTGGCTGTTTGCTTATGATTTTATCATGGAACTGCATTTTTTGGGGTTGTATGAGGCAATATCAGGGATTTGTTATATTGCAGTAAAAGTGTTTCCAGAAAGTATTAGAAGTGGAGACATGTAGTACTAGAGGCTTTCACGGACTGATGGTTGTGCTTTCTACTTGGTTTACTTTCTTTAAGGGTCATGAACTTTCAATCTGGTCTGTAATGATGTGTCAAGCAAGAACCCGGAAGGAAGTTGGTAACAGATATTTGAGCTTTGGTTGGCTTTTTATTTCGGTTGAACTGGTGAGGACTGGTAATTTTTTCTTGGGATGGAAGCTTCGGTCTCCATATTATGATTGTGGCTCTGGATGGCATTTCTTATTTGTAGCCTACGTGAATTCAGGATTTTGTATTATGGGATGGTGTTCTCGATGTTTTCCCTATAAACATGGTTATCTATTTTTCAATTTTGGTTGTCAATTAATATTATCTGTTGTAACAGGGAAAGCTTTTTTAGAGGTTATCATAGCAGCAATCCCACGCGATACGTGCAACAAACAACATAATAATGGAGGCTTAGAAACTCTCTGGGCTTGCCTCTCCGATAATGGTAGTAATGGTAAAATTATGGTCTGGATTGGTGAAATTGTTTTTGGCTCCTTTGGATGTCAATCGAAAATCAGGCTCTCTCATGCGATATTTGGTTGGAAACAAACTTACTTTAAGAACCAAACTAGCATTGTTGTACGTTTTAACTCATGTAATACTTGTTTAAGTAATCAAGGTTATTTTATTACAAACGTTCCAAACCTTAAGGTTTCAAGATGTAATAGACTCCTCCGAAGGTCAAAAAATGGGGACGTCTCGCTTACATGTATTACACATATGCACTATTGCTTTTGGATTATTACTGTGGTTTTTGGGGTCTTTTAATTCTGATACACCGGGATTATATTAATATGTATATCTGTGGTGTAAGGAAATGGCTTTCTGTATACACTGTTCTTATGAGAACATCATTAAAATTTAATTTTTATGAGTATATTGAGTTGGAATTGTAGAGGTGCTGGGGGTTCGGACACAGTACAACGTATTAGGGATTTACGACGTCAGTATTTTCCAGATTTTATATTTCTCATGGAGACTAAACAAAAGTTCGCTTATATGGATGTTCTAAAATCAAGTCTGGGATATGATTGTTTGCACATAGTGGAGCCTATTGGCCGGAGTGGTGGCTTAGCTTTAATGTGGAAAGGTTGTTACGTAGTTGAAATTTTGTATAGTGATAATAGAATTATTGATCTCAAAGTGACAATGGGTTCCATGGTTTTTTTTCTCTCATGTGTATATGGGGATCCAGTAAGAGAACGGAGACATTATGTTTGGGAGAAATTAACGGACATTGGTGTGGTTAGAGATGAGGCATGGATTTTGGTTGGAGATTTTAATGAGCTAATGCATAATGGTGAAAAATTGGGAGGGGCTATTAGAGATGAATCCACGTTTTTTGATTTCCGGAACATGGCTGAAGCATGTAAAATTAGAGAGATGAGGAGTACGGGAAATACTCTTTCATGGGCAGGTATGAGGGATCACAACTGGGTACAATGTCGATTGGATAGGAGTTTTGGCAATGATGATTGGTTCAGACTTTTTCCCCAATCGTCTACTGATTATATGAGTATGTGGCCTTCTGATCATCGACCTATACGAATAGAGTTCACACTAGAACCTGAAAATTTACAAAGAGGTCGATTTTATTTTGATAAACATATGCATGGAAAGAGAGGGGTGGAGGAGGCCATTGTTCATGGATGGGATGTAGAAAATATTAACTCAAATTTAAGTGTTCTTGATTGTATTGCTCGATGCCGGTCGGAGCTTTCTAAGCTTAAAAAGACCAATGACTGGAATTCAAAATCAAGAATCGAACGATTACAGACTGATTTGGACAAAGAGAGCTCAAAGCAATTCCCAGTTTATAGTTTGGTAAGGAGACTGCGACAGGAATTGGCTACGGCTTATAGGGAAGAAGAGATTTTTTGGAGGCAGAAAAGTCGAGAAGAATGGTTACGGGAAGGAGACATGAATACAACTTACTTTCATAATGTGGTTAAAGGGAAAAAAATACGAAATAAAATCTTAATGCTTAAAGACATTTTTGGTAATGAACATTTTTCTGAAGGGTCCAAAGGTCATATTGCTACTGAGTATTTCAGAGATTTGTTTACAAGCTCAAACCCAAGAGATTTGGAAACTCTGTTTGAAGGATTTGATACTAGGGTTACTTCAGAAATGAACGCAGTGTTAATCAGAGAGGTATCACCCGATGAAATAAAAAAAAACAGCCTTTGGTATCAAAAGTAGTAGTGCCCCCGGCGAAGATGGTCTTACTGGTTATTTTTACCAGAAATGTTGGCACATTGTGGGACAGAAAATTGTTGGGGATGTTCAAGATTTTTTTAAAACAGCCATACTCCCTGCTGGTTGGAACCATACACAGTTATTTTTATTACCCAAAATTTTACATCCAACGGAGATGAAGGATATGCGTCCAATTAGTCTTTGCACTGTACAATACAAAATCATTTCTCGCATTCTTTGTGATAGAATGAAAGCGATTCTACCAAACATAATTTCGGATACTCAGGGGGCTTTTGTTGGAGGCAGGCTAATTACAGATAATGTTATTATAGCACATGAACTGGTGCATGGCCTGCGCACCAATGATAAAATTGGTAAAGAAAGTATGGCTATTAAGACAGATATGTCCAAAGCCTATGATCGGGTTGAATGGAATTTTCTTGAAGTTCTACTTGAAAAAATGGGTTTTGATCGAAAATGAGTTGTTTGGATTATGTCATGCATCACCACTGTCACCTTTTCAGTGTTACTAAATGGACGATCTCATGGATTTATTAAACCTGAGAGAGGAATACGTCAGGGTGATCCTTTATCCCCTTTTTTATTCATCTTATGTGCTGAAGCTTTGGTTCATCTGTTAAACAGAGCTGAAGCACATGGGAAATTACATGGTATAAAGCTAGCTAAAGATAGTCCTTCAGTCCATCATTTGCTTTTTGCAGATGATAGCTTGCTCTTATGTGAAGCCTCTATCAAGGATAGTGTAG